CCATGCTATGGACCAAGTCTCCCACTTTGGCGGTCATGTGCATTTATCTAAACAATATTTGACAACGTCATTGTAAGTGTGGCGGAGAAGAATTATGAATAAAGAGAAGTTGTATCAGTATTCTTGTGTGTCAATTTGGTTGATGTACTTGGTTTATGTATTATAACAATATGTGTGTTTTCGCCCCTTAACTTTAGACCTGATAGCGTTCTGTCACGGCCCAGCGCTACTACTATCTTGTTAGCAGTAGCGCGGTTCCCACAGAGGCGCTACTACTATACCTAGCCTGTTGGCAACAGTGTGGCATGTATAGTGGTAGCGCGTTTAGTTCCAGCCGCGCTACCGCTATGCACATAGCAGTAGCGTCCTTTGTATACAAGTGCTACTCCTAAAGAGCAGTAGCGCCTCCTTTTAGCCCGCACTACTGATAAGCTTCTGTGTATAAGGTTTTTCCTAGTAGTGCATGAAACATATGGATCCAAATTAGCCCCTTAAGGAATAACGCATAAACTAGGGTTTAACCTTCTATCACTTTAGCAAACCATCATCTAATAACTACTCCACTATGCTTTCCCTTAGCCCAAAGGGGGGATTGGATGATTTGCCCCACTTTACAAGGGTTGGATGATTTGCCCTTTGATTGTCTCAATGACAGTGGCCCCGGGCCCCACCTGGTAGCCTCTCAGGGAGGGGCAAATGATCCAATGGAGAAGTAAAGTGGGGCAAAAGATTCAATTTCTCTAGCACAAAGATGGTGAAGTGTCAGGTAATCGATATTCACATAACACCACTAAGGGAAACAACAACATACATATCATCAAAATATCGAATGAATACCAAATTCACATAATTACTTATGACAAGACTTCTCCCATGTCCTCAAGAACAAACGTAACTACTCACAAATCATATTCATGCACAAGATCATAGGGGTATTAAGTAGCATAATGGATCTAAACATGTGACCTTCCATCGAATAAACCAACTAGCATCAACTACAAGATATAATCAACACTACTAGCAACCCACAGGTACCAATCTGAGGTTTTGAGACAAATATTGAATACAAGAGATGAACTAGGGTTTGAGAAGAGATGTTTTTGGTGAAGATGATGATGAAGATTGGTCCTCCCACGATAAGAGGATCGTTAGTGATGACGATGGCTTAAATTTCCTCCTCCCGGAGGGAAGTTTCCCCGGCGGAATCTCTCCGCCGGAGAGCAAAAGTGCTCTTGCCAAGGTTCTGCCTCGAGACAGCGGCGCTTCTCCCGAAACCCTTCTTCTAAATTTTTTCTAGGACAAATGGCATCATATAGGAGAAGATGGGTGTTGTGGGCCTACCAGGGCCACCACAAGCTCAGGGGCGCGCCTAGGGGGGTGGGGCACGACCCCCAGGCTTGTGGCTGCCTGGTGGGTCCCCCTGTGGTATTTCTTTCGCGAATAATTTTAATATATTTTAAAATAATTCTCCGTCAATGTTCAACTCATTTGGAGTTGTTTAGAAAATGTGCCTCCGATGTAGCCCTTTCCGGTCCAGAATTCCAGCTGCCGCCAATCTCCCTCTTCATGTGAAACTTGCAAAACAAGTGAAAAATGACATAAGAATTGTACCATAAAGTGAAATAGCAGTCCATAATGCAATAAATATCAACATAAAACATGATGCAAAATGGACGTATAACTGTTTGGGGGGGGGAGGGGGTCAGTGGACAACAAAAGATGCTCTAGGGGTCATATAGTACAAAAGAGTCGCCGAGGGATGGGACAAGTGTCCTGGAAGAGGGCCAGCCGCGCGAGCATCCAGGGTGTCCTCAGTCGCCACGTTAGTCCAGGCTGGCGCGTCCATCCAATGTCTCCGGGTATGGCTGACGATGGGGACGCAACATGCAGGAGAACGCCGCAGGTATGGGAATGCGAAACCCGCGGGGGTCTGGTGTTAGACATGGAGGAGAAGCCGTGCAATCTTGTGGGAGGAGGCGCTCGTTTTACGTACACTACTAGCGAAAAGCCTAGCAGCAGCGCGGGTTTTGGGCCTATTAGCAGCGCGGGGGCCGGCGCTACTAATAAGGCGCTACAGCTAACGTATAGCAGTAGCGCGGGTGCAACCCGCACTACTACTACGTCCTTTAGTAGCAGTGTGGGTAAAAACCCGCGCTACTACTACCAGCGCGGGTTTATTTTGAATTTTTTCGAAAAAATATTTTGATTTTTCCCCCTAATTTTCAAATTTCTAAATTATTTTAACCTCAAATCTCTAATCACCCCTCATCGCTGCTCAATTTAATCTCTAATCACCCCTCATCATTCCAAATCATCTAACTTCTCGGACGGTCACCCATCCTCTCACTACTCCAGCCTGAGCACGCTTAACTTCCGGGTTTTATTCTCCCTCGTTTCCAAGTCTGCACTTGTTGTTTTCCTGACAATAGTAAGATGTCAATCCTATTAACCTCAGGAATTTAGCTTGAGCATGAAGTCACACATTTCACTATTTGAGTTTAAAACTATTGTTCTAAAAAATTAGTAACACTAATATTTCTTGAATAATTAGTTTGACCACAGTTTCACCATAGTTTGACCAAAGTTTGGCCATAGTTTGACCAGATTTGACCAAAATTCAAAAAAACTAAAATAATTATTTAGTAACACTAATATTCTAGAATAATTAGTTTGACCATTGTTTGACCACAGTTTGACCACACAGTTTGAAATTTTTTCGATTTTTTCCACTCTAGATCTTAAAAGCCCCGTAACTTTTTTTTCTATTAGGTTTTTGAGGATTTTGAAAATGTTTAACGGGGTTCCCTTGGTTAAATTTGGATGTAACTTTTCGAGTAGATGATTTTTCATATAAAAAACTTTTTCATCCGAGTTAGTATGCAAAAGTTATGCCAATTTTTACAAATTCTTGAGAGATTTTGCAAATAAAGTCGAAATTCATATTTGCAAATTTTCCCAACAACTAGACCATATATCACATGGGAAACTTATTTTCTTTTATTTTTTTGACATTTTCATCATTTTATTTTATTTTTTTTAACTGAAAAGGCGATCCAAGGTGGGGGGGGGGGGTAGAGTTTGAAAATGAGACCTTTAGTAGTAGCGCGGTTTTTTACCCCCTCGCTACTACTATGGCACCACTTAATAGTAGCAAGGGCTAAAAACCAACGCTACTGCTATCAAACTTAGTAGTAGCAAGGTTTTAAAAACCCGCGCTTCTACTATGGCATGTCCGGGGGGCACGGTAGAGACCGCTTAGTAGTAGCGAGGGTTAAAAACCCGCGCTGCTGCTATCAACTTAGTAGTAGCGAGGTTTAAAAACCTGCGCTACTGGTAAGTAGCAGTAGCGAGGGTTTTTAACCCTTGCTACTAGAACTTTCTGTGTATAGGCTTTTCCCTAGTAGTGATAGGGTATCACGTCATGCAATCAAGTCAGATTGCATCCTGATTTCTGTTTCCTAAAAAAACTTACCTTACAACCGACGTACCAACGAATCGCAATTGCCACAGACTCCCACTTTAGGAGTAGAGATCCTTTAACAACATCATTAAAAGTGTTTTTTTGCATGGTAATACGTGTCTCATTCATATCATAAAGAATAAAGTACAAGTCACGTAAAGATCGACATGACAAAACTGAAAAGATAACAGAACATCTCTGAGCTTGACACCAACGCCCGTCACCTGCCTCCGGCACCACCACAGCAGCCACCGAAGAAAATAATGACGAATCACCTCCTCACCCGAGCTCGACGCGGCTCCATCGCTGATATGCAGCTTTACGGACCTCCAAGGTGGCTCACCAAAAGTGAAATCCTTACCGTTGAACGAATCAGGCCGGGGCAACACCCCAGACACGTCATCGAACTCCAGATCTAGCAACCCACCATGACTAAAACGCCGAAGGAGGAAACCATATCTGCCATCCACCAACCACAAGCCCAGCACATGCTCCGTCTTCCAGATGTCGTCGATGCAGACCACAATCTGCATCTGCTCCTGGACTACCTCCCAAGCTCCGCGCCGACGCTGGAGCAAACATCGTCGCAACGGCGGAGCCCGAGGACACAGGTCCACCACGAGGATGACGCCGCCGCCGCACCATCCTTGCTTGAACAGACTGGTTTCCAAATCCATCCCCAACCATAGGACCGATGGCCTCGTCAGGGAAGGATCTGACGAATCTTTATTCAGCATTGTCATCGTCGCCGCCGAAGCAAAGACGATGAACAACCTAAAAACCTAGACTACGAGAGAGTAAAAACGATGCACACGCGTGGATCCGGCGACTCCCCTAATCACCGACGACCCAGGTCGCCGGCGGAGGGGAGCCGCCAGAGAGCGGTGTTGGAAGATCGGCCTCCCCCTAGCGGCGGCTAGGGTTACAGCCGCCAGGGACGAGAGGAAAATGCACGATCTAATGTCATTAAAAGTGTGGCGGAGAAGAATTATGAATAAAGAGAAGTTGTATCGGTATTCTGGTGTGTCAATTTGGTTGATGTACTTGGTTTATGTATTACAACAATATGTGTGTTTCCGCCCCTCAACCTTAGACCTCACAGCGTTATGCTATTTGTTTAGTTTTGTCAGTTTGGTATGTACGTGACTTGTACTATGGTCTTTATGATGATATATAAATGAGACACGTATTACCATGCAAAAAAGAAAAAAAAACTTAGAGCGGACACGTGGGGAAATTTTACCTTGTTTTTTTTTCTCCGCAAAAGAAAAAAGATACTATTTTTTTTACACAAAGACAAAAGACAAAGACAAAGACAAAGAAAATATCTCCTCCTCGGTCGGGCTCCAAACATCATGGGCGTGGGTGAATGAGCCTGGTCCGGCCCAGCCCGGCCCGGTCGACGAGGGCACGCGTTCTGCGGTGGTGGGAAGGCGTAAAAGAGCGCTGGTGGGAAGCCTTCGTCGGCAGAGAGAAGACAAGACGAGAGACGCCTAACCCAAACCCTAGCCGCATCCCACCCACGCCCGGCCGGCAATCCATGGCGCTGCGCAACCTGGCCGCGAAGTTGCGGATCCCCACCTCTGCTGCTGCCCGGCTCCCGTCGCCCCCCACCCCTGCTGCTTTCCGGCTCCCATCGGACCCTAGCGTTCCGCCGCCGTCCGTTTCTCGGCTCGAGGTATGCTCCTCCTCCTGCACACCGCGCTCCCTCAATTAAATCACTAGTTGGAGTCGGTAGAGCAAATCGACCAATAGATGGGTGATCTCTTGGATTCCCCAACTCCGGATCTCGACCCTTCGCTGTCGCTGAGACCACAAGTTTCGCCCGCCCTTGCCATATTCAAGTCTTGCCCTTGTGCTGTTGCTTGAATCCTCGCTAGCTAATCGATTTGACATTGAATTAATCTGCCCCAAAAGACCAGCAGATTCGTAGTCATAGGTGGCCAATTTCATGGTTGTTTATCCCTAGTTCCTTTCTTGCAAGAGAGGCTCCGGAGTAAAAAGCACAAACACATACCATACCCACGCTAACCTTCTTTGGGTATGTAGTCTTCCCGAACTTAGAGTTTTCCCTTGCCTTCGCCGTTACAAATTACGCTCTGATGCATATGTGAGTTCTTTATTGGCTAATCCTTGTTGGCAGAATTTTACATGATGTGGCTCTCAAAACATTTGTTATTCTCACGCCTTTTTGCCTTTGACGTGGTTGATTCGCTGTTGCAGACCATTCTAACTTGAAAACATTTGTTATTGTCATGAATGAAAGCTCTTCCCTTTTTTGCCTTTGATGTGGCTGACGTGCTCGCTGTTACAGATCATTCTAACTTGACAACCATTTGCGTTGTCATGAAAGCTCTTCTCGTTTTGCCTTTGCATGAGGCTGGTGCGCAGATACTTATTTTAGTCATTCATCAGTTGGTCAATTCACAGATTTGAACGAGAGGCACACTAAATTCTGACTGCTAGTGTTAATCGGCAACTTGATTTGGGATGATTGCACATTGTATCCCTTGTACGGCGTAAGTTTTGTAAGATCTGAAAATTAGAGCACTAACAGTCAAAGATCTGACATTGCAGTACCAACAGTCAGGAATGCTCCCCTATAAATGTTTTTTGCAGCTGTTTGTTGAAAGTTTTCGACTTAGTGTAATATCTGAACTCATCAGGTCTATGATTTCAAGAGCTTTTAGCACTGCAAATAGTGTCTCGTGATATTTTTGTTCCCCTTTATCCTACAATGACATGCAAGGATACCAAGGCTAAATCTTGGTCACTACCTTCTAATCTTCTTTTACCTTGTTGAATTGTTGAGCGCCAGAGACTGGTACCAGTTCCAGCGGGCACGTTATGATGATGTGACAAGAGAGTTTAGAAACTTCAGGTAAAAGCTACAACAACTTCCATTTTAATCCCTCTGTAAAGAAAATATAAGAGTAAGCTAAACATTCTTATATTTCTTTACGGGAGGGAGTATAGTGTTTATGACTACTCGAATGATTAATTATTATGATTGGTTGAGCTTGTGTTGTCTGAAAGGGTGGCGCCTTAATGTAATTTTTCTTTTTCTTTTTGGCAGGCTTGAGGTTGTGTGGTCTGAAAGGGTGGCTAACCTGCTTGATTTGGCTTACAAGGTGGGTTGTCCTATTGTCGTTGGTGGTGTGGTCATGAAAGGGATTGCCTATCGGGTGCTTGCCTATCAGAAGATGTGATGGGGGTAATGGCCATGTGCTGCTCTGTTCATTAGTGCAGATGCGTGTGCACTTGTCGTGAGCACTCTGGTTGTGGTAACTGGGAACTGCCTGCAAGAGCAGATAACCATGTAGAAATAAATGGTTTGTTGCGTGCGTGTCTTGATCCGTTGTGTGTCATGGACCAGTGGTTTTGACTTGATGTAATTGTGTCTAAGCGTACTTCTTCCTGGTAATGGTGTTGGTGCACTTGGTTTGATGAAGAATGGTTTTTTTGAGCCTTGGTTTGATGAAGAATGGTTTTTTTGAGCCTTGGTTTGATGAAGAATGTTGTGTTTGCTTTCAACTTTTGTTTGTGCTTGTGGAAGTACTGATTGTGAGGTTCTCCGTTTGCACGCTGTTCAGGGGTCTGGTTTATGTACCGTGGACTTGGCCACTTTGCTTTTTGTGGCGGTAACTTTGTCAATTTTCCCCATACTGGTCAAGTTTGTAAGCTTTTGACAGTGAAGCGATAAGCTGGAACTGTTGTGCCTGATGATGTCCAACTTATCCATACAATTTTGAGGACGTGTATATCAGAGTACCAATTATCCATACTACTTGTCCATACAACCGTTCTGTGACATGGACAGGTGGTTATGACAGTAATTTATTTTTGTCAAAGCGTACTTCGTCCCCGTGATGTTTATTGCACTTGTTTGTTTGATGAAGAATGTTTTTGTTTGTGCTTGTGAATGTACTGAGTGGAGTGAGGTTTCTCCGGTTGCACTTTGTTCAGGGGGCTCTTTGTTTATTGTGGCGGTAACTTTCTCAACTGTGCCCATACTGCTTAAGTTTATAAGCTTTTGACAGTGAAGCAATAAGCTGGAAGTGCTAATGTCCAACTTGTACATGCAATTTTGAGGATGTGTATATCAGGGTACCAATTATTTTTAAACTATATCATTATCTTTGCTGGAAACTCAAGAGAAGAATATATTTTCCAGTGCTATGTGTGCGTAACATTTCTATACGAAACAACTTATCAAGATGCTTTGTATGCCGTAAACATATTTACCATCACTGGAGGTATATGTGTGAGGTTTGTCATGGTACAGTATGGGCCAAACTATTTTTTTTTCCCAAATGCTAACCTTATACTCCTATGACAGGCTACAGACCTGCACCCGGTAAAAAAGAAACCTAAATGCTTACGTCAGATTGTTAGCGTTCACTGATTTTCAGCATTTCCGAGCGAACGCCCTTAGAGCGCGCGAATTCTAAAGCATTTGCTCCACACACATTAAGATGGCAATCTAAGCGAACACATTAGGGATGGCATTTCTGTTTCTTGAGCATGGTAGTTTTCACTTTTTGTTGTTGTTGATGTAGTATGACAATTTCCTTGCCAGGATGGCAAATTCTGAGCATGCCAATTTTTACAGTTTTTTTAGGATGGCAATTCTCCATGTTGCAATCATGGCAAATCTTTGAAAATGCATAGGAATAATTGTTCGAAATCAAAATGATCAATTCCTCTTGACGATGGTTACAGGGTGCTTATACATCTCCTGGAGAGACACGACGACCCAGAGGAGGCGTCGGTTCCAGGGAGATGCATCGGTTGCCAAGGACACAGACGTCCGTACGGTGCAACTGCTTGTCCGTCGGGCAAGGGTGGGTTTCCCTTAATTACAGAATTAATTTCAACACTCCTCCTAATCTACGCTTGACCATGTAGAATCATCTTCACGATTGACCGGAAAGCTCTATCATCTCAAAAGATTCTTCTTCAAAAGTTCTTCATAAAATCTTTGATGAGATCCTGAAACATATACTCACAAAGAGAGATAGCGTAATGTGCTGTTTGAACAAGGATATCTCAAGAAGAGACTCCCCCTGATGCTTGCAAGTCCCAAAGTCGTCGCATACCAATTTCATGAACATATTTCTAGAACGTAGAATTTGGTAGAGACATATTTCTAGAATGTAGAATTTGGTAGAGACTTGATAAATAAATCAACAAGATTTTCGCATGATTTAATTTGCAAGACGTTTATTTCCCCGCTTTGCTAAAGATCATGGGGAAAAACCACTTAGGAGATATATGCTTAGTAATATTACTCTTAATGTATCTGTGCAACACAGTCCACATTGTCTTAATAGATAATGGTTGGTGATTCTATCGAACCAATTCCACATGACTGTTGTATGTGGTTTATCACTCTGCGAAGCCATACACATTCGCATGTTGCTTCAAATAATGAAATTATTTCAGAATGATTGGTAGATGTTGCCACCAGAGTCTGTTTTAAAGACTTCCATGATATAGCAGTGCCATCATGTAGGAACACGAAGCCGGACTGTGATTTGGCATTATGGGGATCAGACAAATAGCCGGCATCTACATATCCAATCATATCAGAGTCTTGATTTTTCTGGAACGGGAAAAATAGGCCAAGATCCTTTGTGCCTTGTAGATACCAAAAGATATTCTTCACTCCAGACTAATGACGTTTGGTGGGAGCTGCGCTATGTCTAGCAAGTAGATCCACTGCAAATGCAATATCTAGTCTTGTGCAATTTGCAAGATACATAAGTGCTCCAACGGCACTGAGGTATGAAACTTCAGATCCCAACACCTCTTCTCCATCATCCCTTGGTCTGAATGGATCTTTCTCTGCGTCTAGAGATCGAACCACCATGGGAGTTTTAGATGGATATGATTTGTCCATATTGAATTTCTCCAATATTTTTTGGATATAGGCAGCTTGGTGTACCATGATTCCTGAGGGAATGTGCTGAAGTTGAATACCTAAGAAAAATTTGGTCTTACCCAAATCCTTCATCTCAAATTCCATCGTCAGGTGATTGCGTGCTTCATCAATGTCTGGTGTGTTGCCAATGATGTTGAGATCATCAACATACATAGAAATGATGCAAAATCCTATAGAGGACTTCTTGATGAAAACACATGGGCAATCAACACTACTGGAATAACCTTTCTGAAGAAGGTACTCACGGAGTCGGTTGTACCACATCCGTCCTGACTGTCTTAAGCCATATAATGACTTATTCAACTTTACACAATACATGTTGCATTTTGCACTTTTATTCGGGACAGGGATTCCATCAGGAACCTTCATATATATGTCTGGATCCGGTGACTCGTAAATATATGCGGCCACGACGTCCATCAACTGCATAGATAGTCTTTTGCACTGCCAAGGATATAAGATATCGCAAAGTGGTTGCACTCATTACTGGTGAATATGTTTCAGTGAAATCAATGCCGGGTTTCTGCATGAAACCTTGTGCTACAAGCCTTGCTTTATATCTCACCACCTCATTGTTCTCATTCCGTTTCCGGAGGAAAACCCATTTGAATCCCACAGGGGAAACATTGGGAGGTGTAGGTATTGCTTTAGTGAATACCTTTCTTTTGTTAAGCGAGGCAATTTATGCTTGGATTGCATCCTTCCATTTAGGCCAGTCGGAGTGCTTTTGGCACTCAATGATAGACCTTGGATCATGATCAGTGAGAAGGGTATCTGCAATCTTTTCAGCAAAACATATGTCGACAGTCGTAGTCTTACGGTCAAATGATTCACCAGAATCAACATAGTTGATGAAAATTTTCTGCACCCCTAGTGACTCTTCGTGATTTCCCAATACGATTGAATTCGGGTGTTCCGATATCCCTGCCAGTTTGTGCACACTGGAGCTGGGTTGTAGAGGTTGCCCTTCCACTGGGTGTATACTACCCATCAGGTGTTTGCCAATGTTGAGTTGACATGCATTTACTGACTCTGAGGTTTTTATCCTCAATTTCCTTTGCTGCTTGCTAGAAACATGCTCCAGGTCAGAGGTCGTACTACTCCCCCTCTTTTTAGGAATAGGGAGTTGAGTGGTTTTTATTGATACCTCCACTCTTTCTGGCGCGTTTCTGGCTGGATTTAAGGATTTTGTAACATCTTTCATATCAGTAAATGAATCTAGTAGATTATTTGCAAGATGTTGCAAATTAATAATCTTCTGAACTTGAAGTTTGGTCTCTTGGGTACGTGGATCAGATGATGAAATGGCATGAACATTCCAATCAATTTCTGGGCATTCTTTCTGGTACTTGAAATCTCCCCCTAATGCCAAAAAATGTTCCTCATTAAATATGCAATTAGCGTGATGGGTTGGGAATAGATCCCCAGTCAGGGGTTCCAGGTACTTGATAATCGATGACGATTTGTACCCCACATAGATCCCCAACTTCTTGTGTGGGCCCATATATGCCCACTGTGGTGGTGAGATCGGAATGTATGCAGCACATCCGAACTTACGCAGATGGGAAATGCTAGGTGGATTTCCACGTACCAATTCCAGAGGGGAAGAACTCTGATATGCAGTTGACCTTAATTGTATCAAGTCAGCAGCGTGTAAAACAGCGTGGCCCCAACAAGTGATTGGAGAGTTGCAATTTGTCAACAAAGGTCTTGCAATGAGATTGATCCTCTTAATCAGTGATTCAGCCAAACCATTTTGTGTATGGACATATGGAATAGAGTGCTGAACTTCAACCCCCAAAGCCATGCAATAATCATTGAAAGCACGTGAGGTGAATTCTGCGGCATTGTCCATTCGAATTGATTTAATTCGACTTTCAGGATAATGGGCTTGCAACTTAATGGCTTGCCTCATTATCTTGGAAAATGCATGGTTTCGTGTGGATAGAAGACACACGTGTAACCATCGTGTAGATGCGTCAATCAAAATCGTGAAATACCTAAAAGGTCCAGATAATGGTTGAATGGGACCACAAATGTCTCCTTGAATACGTTCAAGGAACCGAAGTGGTTCAGCTTGTATTTTGAGGTGCAAGGGCCTCAAAATTAGCTTTCCTGTGGCACAAGATGTGCACACAAAATCTAAAGATTGAGAAAATTTTGACTCAAGCAAATTATGACCAATGGAATTGCTAATAATTTTTCTCAACATCCCGATTCCGGGATGGCCTAGGTGATCATGCCAGGTTTGGAATGCGTTAACAT